ACTGTTGTGATATTTTGATACCACGGTTAGCATTTACAGGATATTGCTTTGTAGTGAAAACTGTTACTCAATAAGGCCCATCTACTAGTTGTTTTTCTCTTTCTCTGTGACCCAAGAATTAATGTGTAAGACTCACAAGCTGGTACCCCAAGGTCGAAAATACCACAGAGACGAGACCACTTCCTTACTCCCATCCTCCCTTTTTCTTTATCTCTTAGAAAAAGGCTCGTTAAAGGCCAGGTGGTTTGTTTCAGAATTCACTAATGAAAGAACTCTGTATTCTATGTCTAGGAGTGTATTTTGCTGGGATGATCATAAATTGTAACTGAAGAGATAAACTACACACAGGATACTTCTTTGCTCACAAGGCAGGAAGACGTTTCCTTATTTGGTCTGTACCGGAACTTGCTGACACACGAACCTTTTTTTCCTCTATATAAGCTGTTGTATACTTAATAAACCTTTGAGTCGATTGGGAAGGCAACCTAAAGCAGTCTCTGTTTTCTTGTTCTCCCAAGCTGCTCCCGAGCTCGTACTAACACGCTGAATGGCATACCTGAGTGTTACTTTAAATAATTAGGAATCTTAGAAGGAAAGGACAGAACTCTGCTTATCGCTCGTGCCTTGGAGGGAAAACCGGGATGGACATTTTTTTCCTTCACTCCCGGCTGTAGTAGGTCTCGACCTCCCGTTAGCTCGAAGCTAACGGGAGGTCTGCAGCTAAAACTTTTGCGAAATCTCGCAAAAGTTTTGCGAGATCCCGAGTTTGTTTTGCGAGATCTTGCAAAACTTTTGCGAGATCCCGAGATAGTTTTGCGAAATCTCGCAAAAGTCCGTCTTAATTTTTTTTTCTCCCATGTCCCCTGCGGGGCTCCGTACATTAGAAAGGTATAGTAATCATCCACAACTATTTTCAGTTGCAGATGATAAAAGATTCAGAAAGTTTATACATGCAGGTCCATATGACAGAGAATGTCTTTGTTCTTTTTGTTTTCATATTTTAATTTATATTTAATTGTTTTGTGATTTGCAGTGTTTTGTGTTGTTAAATTTGTTTAAAAGGAAAAAGCTGAAAATGTAAATAGTTAAAAGTTGAAATGTGACTAGTTGGTTTTTGTATTTTATGATTTATTTATTACATTTTATGTGGAGTGAATAAATAAAAGTGTATTTACGGTGGACCCTAGAGACAAAGCAACACGTACAAACTTCAAAACACATAAAAACTCAGAACCACGTACAAAACACAACAGAAGTGCTCCAGGATGCTAGGCACAGTGTTGAGCTTTTCTTTATCTAGAGGCTACACAAGCCAGCAAGTACCAATGACTGGATTTGGTGTAACAGGTAAATGAACATTTTTTTTAAATTATTTGAATATATATGAGTGCTTGTGTATAAATACACAAACAATACACATATGCTTTCAATTGTGTAATTTAAGTGATCTAGGGTAGCTCTGTTTTGAAGTTCAGTTAACGCTAGAAATGTGTTTTGGAGCCACCGTATATATTTATATATAAACATATATAAATAAAACCACTTTTTTTTACATTAGTAATTCCTTTTGTGCATAATTTTATATTATTGTTAATAATACATTAATTAACGCAACAAAACAACCTGAAGATCCGGTTCGGAGCCAAAAGACCGGTTCTCTAAAAAGAACCGAAAATCCCATCACTAGTGAACACCCAGGTATTTGTACCCTTCCAGCATTTCATGGCATGCTTGCTTACTTACATAAAAGATGGCGCCAGCAGTATGCACGGCAACATTTCTGCCGACATTGCATCCATCAACTCTGCCAGCTTTGCGTTGGCTTTCGCTAGCTTTATCTTTTTCTACATTATCCCAAAATGCCCTTGGTTTACATGTGTACAATCGCCAGCTACCTTTTATAAGTTAAAGCATCGTATGATCTGGTTTTTAGTCAAACAATGACAGGAGATGATTATGGACCTCCTCCACCACTTTTTGAGCCCCCTATTCTGGCCTATCTGTGCCAACACTCCTACACCACTTCCTGGAAGAATCACTCGAGGAAACAAGGAAAGTGGGCTGGTACACTTATCCGAGTCAGGGCTCTTCTCCATGCTTCCTGTTGAACTACAGGACCAGCAGAGTGCATCTTTAGATGGATCCTGCCTTTTGTCCCTGTAGCTCCCACAAACAAGACGTTTGTATTAAACGACTTCCTAAAGTCACAACAACTGGACTTCCTGTTTCTGACAGAAACATGGCTTCAACCCTGTGAGTCTCTGTAGCTTTTTCAGAACTGGTTCCTCCTGATTGCTCATTCTTCAGCCTCCCTCGCTCCTCTGGAAGGGGGGAGGCTTAGCCACTGTGTTCAACACTCGATTTCATTGCCATCAAACATTACAGCACTATTCATTTTCTAGTTTTGAACTCCAGCTGTTTGAGTTAGGATTTTATCAGTTTTAACAGTTATCAGTTAGGATTTTATCAGTTTTCAGATTTTATGGGTGGAATTGTTCTTAAATTTGACGTTTTGTCTGCTTTGACTCTAAACTTTTGGTCAAGGACTTTTTAAATATCATTGACTCTGTCTGTTAATGTGACCCACACTGGACTTGGTGCTTTGCGGAAATATCAAAGTTGTGCATTTCTGATAATTGTTCACTTTAATGTTGCGCTTCTCAGTAGATAAGCCGTACACCCCAGCACTCAAAAAACAAGCACTTAATGCTCTAACAGCACCAACTTTTTATGCTGCCTTTCTGGATTCTGGAATAATGAACTCCAGTTGTAAAAGTGTTGAGGACCTTTCGTACATTCTTCATTCTTCATTCTCCCTGCACTGATATTTTCAAGTCTATTTCTCCGTTCAGGACTGTGTGTGCTAAGCCATTATCAGTGCCATGGTTGAATGAACACACGTGCTCCCTTAGACGTGACTATAAATGCGCCGAAAAGAGATGGAAAAAGGACAGACACATTTCTCTACAGATTTTAAGGACTCGTCTTTCTGCTTACCAACAAGCTGTAAAACCTGCAAAGACACAGCTTGTCTCAAACTTAGTTTCAGTAAACAGTCACAGGCCTCAGGTACATTAAGGTCTTTAATCATTTTCTTAGTCCACGTGATAATGCCAGAGTCATTTTTTTAGCAAGCATTTTTTAACGACAAGGTTCTATTTATTAGGGCTCTTGTCTCGTCGACAGTCTTTCTCCTATGTGCTCAGCTGCCTTAGAGCAGCTTGATCCTGTCTCCCTTAACGATTTGACTGCGGTAGTTCATCAACTAAGATCATCACACTGCCCCTCTGATTGTCTCCCCCAAGGTTGCTTAAAAACACTTCTAATACTGTTGGGCCTTTTATCCTGAGATTAATTAATACATCCTTTGCTACAGGCTGCGTCGAATCATGCTGTAAACAAGCTATAGTTCAGCCTCTTCTTAAAAAACACAACCAACTGTTCTGTCCAGTTATTGGCCAATCTCAAAGCTCCCTGGTTTTAAATTACGACATAGGCAGAGATGGCAATTTTAAGGATTTTTAATGATATTCTCTGAACTCTGGACTCTGACAGCCCTGCTGCCCTTTTATTGTTGGACCTGTCAGCAGCCTTTGAGACGGTCGACCACGACATCCCGTTATCAGGGCTGAAATTTCAATCAAATAAAATCACTTTTATTGTCACATCACATGTGCAGGTACACTGGTACAGTACATGTGAGTGAAATTCTTGTGTGCGAGCTTCACAAGCAACAGAGTTGTGCAAAATACAATAACGTAAACGTACATGCTGGCCTAAAAGGATCTGCCCTCCAGTGGTTTTGGTCCTACTTGACAGGAAGGTCTTTTTAAGTTAATATGGGCCCCATAGCTTCAAAATAGCCCCTCCTAATTATGGTGTACCTCAAGGCTCTATTTTAGTAGTTTATTAGTCTAATCTCAAATCTTGTGGCATTAGAGCCTTCTCTGTGGCAGGTAGTCTTCCCCTACATATTAGGTCTGCACAAACGCTACTAAAGACATATTTTTATCCCCTGGCTTTTAACACACTATGATCCTTTTGTTCTGATTTAATAGTCTTAGTTATTGTTTTAATTCTCTTATTGTCCTATCATTATTTTTATATTGTTTTATATTGTTTTATATTGCTTCTTTTATGGTCTTTTATATTGTTAATTATATTGTGATTTATGTGGTTATGTGATTCAATTTTGTGTAAGTCTTTCAAATGTAATTTTATTAAATCATGGCCTTAATTTTCAGATTTATGTTTCACACCAAAAGGGAGCACCGTCTTCCAATTAGGAATTAGTGTTGCGTCACCACCGGTGTTTAAATTTGGAAGAGGCCAAAGAGTAAAACACACTACCTGCCTTTATCTCATCATTTATCTGATTTTTTCCCTTTTTTAGGTTAGGAAGTTATAAAAATCGCACATGTGTTCCATACGAGTGATGTAAAGCTAAAACCTGATTTTGTTTATTTTGCACTTTGAAATGTAACATGTTGCTGCTGAGAGCTAATTTATCTCACCAAACAAGCCTGAGCTGCCTGTAACAGCTGTGTGTGTGTGTGTGTGTGTGTGTGTGTGTGTGTTTTCCAAACTTAAAGCTCCTTTTTGTAACAATTATACAACACACGTCCTGCACTTTTGATTATACAGAGAATGTTTTGTGTGCCTCTGCAGTGATCGTCTGTAGCTAAAGACATACTAATCCTTTAGCTCTACCATGTTTATGTGGAGTTTTCCACAACAGAGGTAAGACCTTAGTGTGTCACACACACACACACACACACACACAGTATGTTGCATCTAGTTTAGCTTAAATGTTTGCAGTGGACAGGAAATGTGAACATGTCAGACGACTGCTGCGGTCAAAGCTGCAGGAGCTGTTTGAGGTTGGTGTAATGAGGAAGAAGGCACAGAGAGATGATGGAGGGAGGAGCTGAATAAAAACTCTGGTCTTATCTACATTAAGTGCAGCTTCTCTTTGTTCTGCATTTATAATGGACGTGAGGATGGGGCACTCTTTGCTCTGTTTGCTGGGGTTATTTTGTGAGTACAATAACATCTTTACTGTTTGAATGGCAGTGATGAAGCAAAATGTTTCTTACTGGTGACAATTACAGTGTATCTACTTTAACCTGTTTAACCGGCAGCTTCAACACGGCATACAACCGTCTATGTTTAACCTGTTAGATACGCTTCTGCTGTTTGCAAACATTACATTTACTGTTCACAATTTATTAATATTGTTTTTATGTTGATTGCACTGAAAAATTATATTCTTTCATATTTTACAAACTTAATTTTAACAGTGTGTTTTTCATGTTTCCAGACTGTTTGACAGCTAATAGAAACACAGAAATTTGGTGATGAGCAATAACTGTGCCATCTGAAAACTTACCTTTAAAAAGCCTCAGTTTATTTATTTATTACGATTTTGTCAGTTATATAATGTCTGGTGATGTTTCATTCATTACTTTAGTGCTCAGTACAGTCAACCATGGAAACACTGAAGGTGAGAAATTGTTTTCTCTTCCATTTATATCATGTGTGTTGATCTTAACTTATATTTAGCTTCTCCTGTGTTGCTCTAAATGACGTCCTCTGTGTTATATTTTGTATCATAAACCAAACATTTCACTGAGATTATTGGGTAAAATGTTAATATAACCATGTTAAGTGTGTGAGCACTCAAACACACACCCATGATACAAACTGTATATTTACTGAAGAGCTGTGGCTTCATACATGTGGATTTTCTTTTCATGTTTTTCTGATCTGAAAATATCAACAGTGTGTGTAGTTGTTAAGGGGGCCCAGAGGCCAGTATGTGGATCCAAACAGATTCAGTCACAGGAAGCAATGCTAAGGCTTTTCTCACAATTTTTCTTGTGAAACAAGAACAAATAATAACACAGGGAAAAATGCTTAACAAAGGGATATGGAAACGTGAGGGCTCTGTGAACAGAAGGAGAAAATGAGTAGAAAAGATGGAGGTTAGGGAGGGTGAGACAAAGCTGGCTTTTGTGGCTTACTTGGCAAGTGGAGTAGACGTTGCTCCAGGAGGAGTAATGTTGGCCGGGTGAGTGTTCTGCAAGTGGAGTAAGTTCATCCTGATTATTCCAGTGATTGGTTAAACAGTTGAAGGTAGGAGGCCAGGCAGCTAATGAAGAGTGAGTCTGTGAACATGAAATGGCATGAGGTATTACAAGATAGTGACCAGCATCCAGGTAGGAATGCAAACTGCACGCAATTTGAACGGTGGAAACTACTGAGAGCACAAGGAGAACAAGGTAAGTTAATCATAGAAACGATGAACAAGAAACAAAGCCTGCCTGTTATTAACATGTTGACAAACTGGCAAAATAGAAACATTAACATTCGTCTTAAATATGGCTGATTGTCCTGGATCACGATCAGATGAGCAAAACAGGAGCAAGGGCGAGGGCTCCTCCCAGAGGTGGAAGTGCAGAGGCATCGTGGAAAAATACAGTCAACTCACCCCGACCATGACAGTGCATATTATTTCACTGAATCATGCTGTAGGCATGTATCCTGGATTATATTGTAGGATTTTTTTGGATTACCTTTTGGAATTATAAAATTATCAAAAGCTACACACAGAGGACACCTTCAAGGAAAACCAACATGAAATAAGGTAACCAAAGGATGCTCTGAGCTCAGCATAGAGTTTGTTACCTTCATACGCCCTCATTTAGTGTTTTAATTAAAAGCTGTCAAAGCAAAGCCTCTGTTAAGTGTTGAATTGTGTGGCTGCATTTTACAACAAATTTGCATCAAAACATTCAGCAATCTGCTTTTGAACTTTTTCTAAATTACAAGAGGGGAAGTGAAGGTCACTCTGACAGCACACAGATTAATCATACCAGCAGGGGGCAGTGTGACACTGACCTGTGATGTGAAGTAATCTGCTGACTTAAAATATGAGTGGTTCAGAGATATGGAATGCCAGGACTGCCATAATGAATTAATTAAATACACCATTAAATAATTAATTAAATGTGTCAATAATTAATTAAAATTGGAATTAATTAATTAAATAAATAGTTATGACACATGTAATTAATTAATTATTGACACATTTAATTAATTATTGACACATTTAATTAATTAATTATTGACACATTTAATTAATTAATTATTGACACATTTAAATTAATTATTGACACATTTAATTATTTAATTATTGACACATTTAATTAATTATTTATGTATTTCACATTTTAATTAATTATTGACACATTTAATTAATTATTGACACATTTAATTAATTATTTAATGATATATTTATTTATTTCATTTTGGCAGTCCTGGCGCCTGGCTCTCATCTTGAAATAATTTTATCTGTCAGCCTCACCCATCAAACTCAGGGGCGGGGTTAACGCTGCCCATGCAGCTTCTCTAACATTTGATTGGTTGCCGTGCAAAGTAAGTCAAAACAGGTCGATCCTAGATAATCGATTGCTTGTGTAGACTTGGGGCAGCCAGGTATCCCAGAATGCAGATCAAATCACAGGCAGCAATGGTGGTGGTGTAGTTTTAAAATACCCCGTTTTTCTGTCACCAACTACACTTTTAACAGTGTTTTAGCCGCGAATGTCGCGCCGTATGTCTGGTCAGGTTGTCAACATAGAACATGTTTGCAAAAGTGCTCAGATGTTTTCAGAGATTTCACTAGCTCTGCTAACAATTAGCATGCAGAGTGCACCCAGGGGGTTGTTAACCGGTTTGTTTACATATTCCACTCTCCGTGTTCCACATGTTGCATTCGCAGATTCTCATTTTCACTGAACGATCGTCTCTTTCCGCCTGGTCTTGTGTCTCATTTTTCTCACGAAACCAGCGATCAGCTCAACAGACCCTCAGTTTACCTGCATGCATCCTCCTCCTCATCTGTCAGCTGTTTAACACCTGCTGCTAATTCAAGAAACACGCCTACGTTACCTGGTGATAGTCACAGTTTAACTGGGCAGCCGGTGCTCGATATAAAGCAATGTCAGCGCATTTTTCTGCACAAGATAAGTAAATATAGTGTTTTCCCCGAGCGCAGAGCTGCTGGAGCTTGTTTCCTTACAGAGCACTTTATAGGCGAACCAGCTTCATCAGCGGCTGATGTCCAATCACCGGCGCACAGCTTTGAAACCTCAGCTGAGTTTTAGCTCTCAGTGGTTAAACGCTGGACTTCATTCACTCAGGTTCTGTCTGTCGGGTCACGTTTACTTCGCTGTTTTATTTACAACTGAGCAAATCGGTTTGGCTGAGGTTAAAGTTACGTTTCATAACTGCATAGTTTCACAGACGTTTAATGGTTCACTGGCACATGTGTTAGACTGAACTATTCGCTTTTCTTTATCTGGTGTGTTTTGGATTTAACAGTGAATTTTGAGATTAAACTGACTTTTAAAATGTTTTTATACAAAGAGGAAAGAGAAGGCGCATTTCCACCGAGAAGAGCAGGGTTTGCAACAGCATGTTCATCATGAAGTCTGCAACCTGGACAGAAATATTATATCATCTGATTTTTAATAGTTATTCAACTGTATTCTAAGCACCAGCTGTCTGTTAGAATGTGATTTTTTTTTCTCTCTCTGTTGGCAGAGGTATAAAAATGCGCAGGAAAATCTGACGTGCATGGCAAACTTCACCGACGATATTTAGGGAGGAATAAACACACATCAAACATAAATGAACCATTTGCCTGTCTCCATAATTGAGAGCATTTTCTCTTCTTATGTCAACACTCTCTCTGTCTTTTTTTTTTTTTTGCTTTTTCGGTCATGTTAGGTTTACCTGTCAAAGGCTTGTTACAAACTGAAACACATCGTGCAGACTTCTGGATGTTAGAAGAAAACTAATACTGCTCATGAAGGAGACTAAAGGCAGGAAGGTGTCCTTTATAACTAAACATGTTAATAGGACCTCCCTATTTATATCATAGTTTATGATATAGCACGTGTATTTCAGTAATAGCCTGCTGATTTCAGTGTAGTGGTGAACAGTCACACAGCTCACGTGGGCGTTATCTGTGATACTCCTTAACTATAATTTATCCAAGTCAACTTCAGTTAACCATTCAGACAGTTCTTTTGCAATGAAAAACATAAACACCCATGCTGCCGGTAGGTTTCCTCAGTGCCAGCTGTTAACATTATAGCTGCTTATGCAGTAACCACGGTAACCACGGACTCTGAGCGGCTGGATCGACGGAGGTCAGACAACAATTTTACATGTATGATCTTAAAACAGGACACAGCCACTATACGTGCTGGCCTCATATCAAATGTGAAGGCAGACTGAGTCTATGTTTGACGTTTGTTTATATCTAATCTTCCTTTTCAAACATTTAAACAGCAGCGAGTCTGCAGCTGAGGGAATACAAACTCAAATTGTCGGAACAAGTTTGCTCGTTTCTTGGATTCATTTGGTGATTTATTAAATGTATAACTGTTATTCTAATCTGCTGCTGAGTCTCTTACACTTTTCTTTATGCTGTATATTTTCACGTCTCTGGAATAGTTGGAAGTTAGATAGTCAGCTGGGAAACTTTGTGTTAACTCATGGAGCTGAGGATATCGTGGATATGCTGACCTCGCTCCGTGGTGTACAGGGCCGTTTACCCTCATGATTAATATTCACAATAAAAATATTAGCCGAACATCATGAAGTCTGTATGTGTTTCATAGTGTCGAACAACCTTTGTACAGTTAAAGCCAGCAGTTACTACATGACGGAAACACCAACGTTATCTCTTTTATGCGTTTATACACAGGTCACGCTGATTACTGAACAAAAACCCAAAGATCAGATGTTAAACAGATTTATTTTCTCTCTCTCCTCCTTAAACATGTTTTTAATGTTAGTTATAATTCAGAATTGGCGACTGAAACACGTAGGACACATAAGAACATCAGGAAATAAAACACCGATAAATATAACCTCAGTAAAAGAAGTCAGCGGGGGTTACTACAGCTGTGTACCGGGGCCTCCGCTTTGTCGGTGGGATTGCTTGCGAGGCGAGCGGGTCTATCCCACGCTTTGCCGTGAGACTGGGCAGACATCTCCGAAATCATCGAAGCACTTTTGCAAAGAGGCTGTATCTTGACAAACCGACCAGACACATGAAGATTAAACCACTACATTCTCGGCTAAAAAAATATTAAAACGGTATTTGGTGACACACAAACAGGGTTTTTCAAAGTTCAGTTCTGTTAGCTTCCACATGCCGGTTGCTTTGTGCTAGAAACAATGGCCACCAGGCCAAAGCAATGGTTTTGACTCGATCAGCGTTAACCCCGCCCCCTGAGTTTGATGGGTGAGGCTGACAGATAAAATTATTTCAAGATGAGAGCCTGGCGCCAGGACTGCCAAAATGAAATAAATAAATATATCATTAAATAATTAAATAAATGTGTCAATAATTAATTAAAATGTGAAATACATAAATAATTAATTAAATGTGTCAATAATTAATTAATTACATGTGTCATAACTATT